ATGGCCTTTGGGTTTCTTTTGTTTTATTTAAAAAAAATATGCTAGTACAATAAAAGAAGACAGTCCTTTGTAAAATCAAATCCTATTAAAACTTGTTTACCACCGATCCGTAATGATACTATATTTGGCAACCATGGTTACTAAAAAACACTTCTGAGCAATTTAATATGGCAGAGTCACTCATAGTGCTGCAAATGTTATCTCCAGGTCAAAACTAGGTCAACAGGTATGCATATAACGTAACATAACATACATATATATGCTATACACTGGACACACGAACACTTCAGGCAGAAAATGTCACCATCTCACTTCACCATAGAAACTTGAATAATCTGAACGAAATTCTTACTGATTTTTTGATGCTGTGATTTTTTCCTTTTCGAAATTGACCCAGATAGAATATAATATTTAATAATGATATTTGAACAAGAACTATTCAACCACCATTATTGGCTAAATGTGAACATCGGATTTTTGTTGTAAATATCAAGTGCTGTAATTTTACCATAATAATTTCACAAAAGTTCGAATTTAAATAAATCATTTTAAAAAATCACGCGTGCCTAAAAACACATTTTACATAGGAGTAAAATGATAATAGCAAATTTATCATGGCACAAATAGCACAAAAACGAAGCCAAGGAACAAATTAATTTGCACAGTTTTCCTGCCATTTTACATGCATAAACATGTAGTTAGATATATAAAGTAGTTCATGAATAGCCTTTCATTGCCAGAAATGGACAATAGAATCTGGTCAAGTAGGCATTTCCTGTATATCCCACTGCAGTGACCTTACGATATAGAGAGACGAGACGAGATCCCCTCTGACAAGTCTGGAGAACCCGAGAGTAGAAGAATTTACCCCTGATAGTTCTGTGCCCACTTGTATTTGTCAGCTGATCATATGAAGCCATGTAATAAATGGTTGTGGTTACCAGAAGACAATATACCCTTAGGTACACTCTTAAGATGGCTTTGAAGACAATCACCCGTTATATACTTAATACAAAACTATGTAAACAGATACCCCAGACCATTCGTCCCGGTGTTATCGCTATCGCCACACGAGACTCCAGCTTGTCTCCTATTCAATTTGACTGCGCACATCCAGAAAGTAGATGTAGCTGTGATTGGTGGAATACTAATGAGTTGAGTGTCAATCAAACGCCCACGCTATCTTTAGTAAACAAAGTCACGTGACACGCGCCATTTTAGTTTTGGCTGGCGATTTCAAGGCAGCACGCTTAACCCTTTCGTTCACAGGTTGGGAGATATTAGAATGACTGACAATTTCACGCCACTGTTTTACATTATTGGCGGATTTTTCTGCGCTATCAATCTTTCTCTTACAAACTAGACATAGATGAGACGACAGAGTCGCTCCTTTCACAACGTCGCACTGGATCAAATTGGAAAGACGATTTCCATAAGTTATCCCTCCTGCTTTTCCTGGCTTGAATAAATTCACACACGACTTAACTGTCCACAAACTCGAAGACTACACGAACACAGTCTACAATAGTCGTCGGCAACAATATGTATGTATTTCTTCGGTGTACTGATGCACGAATGCACCGTGACACGGTGTTTCTTGGGTGTCGCCATCGCTGAGAATGCCGCCGGCGCAATTTTTCACCCAACTCGCGATTCTGTTTTGCAACATTTTATCAATAATTTCCTTTGACAAAATCGCCGACAAAAGCACCGCTTTGCTGATCTTTTGTTCTATAATTCTTAATGCAAACACCGACCCTAGTAGTAATTAGTAACGTCGCCTAGTACATATGAACGGTCGTCATTGCAAATCGAACATCCTTTTGAAATTTGGACGTCGGGCAGGCGATTTCAAGGCACCGCACTTAAATATTAGCAACATATTTTTCTGAGCGGTTGTTTATTCTCTTTCAAACGAGACATAAATGTGACGACATAGTCGATCCCTTATCCACCGCTAAGAATGCCGCAATGTTTCGTTCGTTTTGCAACATGCCACAAATCGTCGAAAAAAACACCACTTCGACGGAAGCTTGCGTAATAAGGGGGTTAAAACAAGAAAACAAATGCCATGTTTAATACATATCGACCTGTTTTACTTGCGAAAGATAACGGAACATGAACTCGTTTCGTGCGACTTCGGAACCCGGAGGAACACACCAACAACGTTGAATTTACCCGCTATCTTCCAAATATGGTATATTAATTTATTCAGTTGTTTATTTAGAGTGACGTCCGCGGTCGAATGCGATTGGCTATCGATGTCAGTGCAAAGGTCATATGAATATTAAAATTAAGTGGGCGGAAGGAAAATTGTATAGGAGACAAGCTGGAGTCTCGTGTGGCGATAGCGATAACACCGGGACGAATGGTCTGGGGTAAGCATACTTTTATTCAAGCGACTTCTCCCTAACCGTAAGCTAAATCACCTTGCTATTTATAGCACAGATACCTGGTGTGGTCAGATTTGTTCAATATCATGACATGACATCAAATCTAAACCCCTATATTTAGGGAATATTTTTGTCATTTTTGGTCAAAAATTATTTTTTCAACAAATACTTGTCAGATTGCATTACAATTTAGCATGAATTTTCTTGACATGGACTAGACTCTGACTTACTAATTTCATGAGACCATATGCAGCCTGAAAAGGAGAGTATAGTTTTTTATTTCTGGTTTCTGTCTGTGACATCTCTAACATTTTCTCAGAAAATCTGCAGCAGATATCAATGGCAGGTTGATGAACAAGTCTCTGTCGATTATGCATCTAATTTTTTTTTACAGATCTGAAAATTCTAAACGGGTCTTTTTCATGATTTTCATACAAAATTACCTCTCCCAACACCATTGACAGAACAACTGAGCATGCTCAGAATAAATAATTAGCTTAGGTTTTTAGTGATGTCATGACAATGTCATGACCTGGTTATGACCTTGATCCGTCTCAGTGACAGTACAATTACCAATCTCTGTGAAACTGTAGAAGAGTGTCAGGGCTACATTTTGATGGGGATTATAGTGGTGATACTGAAACAAACACAGGTCCTGGTAATATACAAAGATATGAATTAACAAAGAAGTCAAGTTGTTATTAAAGGTACATCAAGGTTTACTCAGATTTATGAATGCAGTTTCTTGAGCATGTATGAGACATAGTTTGGTTGCATTTGTGTACTCTGAGATTTTGGTCGATGGAAGTTTTCAGTTATCAGTACAATACTAGATGAAGGTAAATCACTTGATGTATATTTTCACTTTTTCTCAAAAACCAACCTGCCAGATTGCTGAGGGTCTCATAATGTAGACACATCCAATTTGTTCATTTGGTGAATATATCTCTATTTTTGTGTTTTTTTTTTAGATTTGTAGTTTTATTTTTCCCACTTTGCCATACTAATGTATAAGGGCTATGTATAATACATGGACTGTAATGGACAAGTGTATTATTGGGTTCTGAATGCCAATGTTTTTATAAAATGTAGAATTTCAGGTCAAGGTCATTTCAATGTTTATATGACTGCTGGTATTATATAATGATGTTGAAGTTGTGGGCAAGGTCACCCCCATCTTCAGGGTAGAGTTGAGGTCTTAGCATAGTCACATGTTCATTGTGCGTGTAGATAGGCTGTGTAATATAGCATGCAAAAGAGCTCTACTGTAACATCACTGAAACTTGGGTTTCCAACTTTCCAAATTTTAAGGTAGCGAGAAGGTTTTGTGACGTTTTCGAATAAAACATTCTCTGTCTGTTGTCTCGTTCAGAACAGTAATTTAGCTTATATATTTCAAAAGACTAGAGGTACAAGTTCGCACAAACTGGACAGTCATTGTTTACATAATTATCACGTGACATCAAAAATGGCGAACCTTGTAAAAATGACTAAGTCCGCGATTGCAAGAGCACACTGCGGAATTTCCTGGTTAAATTTACGTCATGCATTGTCCGTAATCAAGTCCATTGAAATGTGTCCCCGATAATCAAAAGACCTATTATTCCGATTTCTATGCAGGTTTGTTTTTTTGTCCCCAAATTATTTCATACTTGGCACCTTTAACAGACTATTATTCTGTGACAAAGCATTTTCTTTAAAAACCCAGACACATTTCGCACCATCATTATCTTTTGAACGATAACTGAGAGTTTGAATGTCCTAGTCCGAACGCACTTCATTTGGCAGCGGTCCCAATGAGTCATACTCAGTCAAAACCTCAATTCGAGAAAAACGCAAAAAAACAGTTT